GGAAAATAAAGCTTTTTAAGGAGTTTGGGAGGGAGGAATAGTGGGAAAAAGTGGGTTTTTTTGGTGTGTTGCACCACGGCACGTGGAGATTCACCAATAAAGAAGGAAAAGAACCAGTTTCTGGGGATGTTTGTAGAAAAAAATAACAAAATAGGTGGTTTGATGGCACCAAATCCCAGTTGGAAACGTTTAATGGTTCCATTTGTGGGGGGAAAAGATGACTCGTGATGCAACGCAGCCACCTGCAGCTTTTCCAAGGGATGGAGTTGGGATTGATTGTGTTTCCTGGAGTTTAGGGTTGAGGTGTTGGGTGGGGAGAGGTTTGGAGAGGTTGGTAACAAGGGAAAAATGAGATGTGAGATGAGATCTCCATGGGATGTGAGGTGACATCCAAACCTTCCCATTCCCACAACAAATCGGCGCCGGGTTCTTACCCCTTTTTTTTTTCCAGAATTAATTAGTTTTAATTAATTTCCATCAGCAGATCAACTCTTTTTTTTTCAGTTGTGGCTAAAATGTCCATTTTTAAATAATAATAATAATAATAATAATAATAATAATAATAATAATAATAATAAAACCCAAGAGGAACCATGTCTTCCAAGTCCAAGTCTCCAAGGTGTGGAGGGAACATGCCCTGGGATGTCCCACAACCTCTGTTTGTCCATCTGAAAATGTCCATTTGGGTTGGTTTTTTGTGTTGTTTTGGTTTTTTTTCCCCCCCCAGTTTCCCCAGTTTCCCCCAGTTTTCTGTTCTGGTTTTGGTTCTGAAGATCAGGTCGTGATCTCCCCTGAGAAGATTTCAGCCCAAGAGTTTGTAACTGTACGATATCTCCTGTAAGATGTAGAACATTCGAGAACTATTCAAATGTTTCCAAAAAAAATAAAAGAATAATAATAAAAAAAAAATAATAAAAATAAAAGAGCCCAAGAGTGTTTGGTGGTTGGTTTTGTCAACGTGGTGATGTGGTGGAGAAGTCAACAGGACCCACCATAATCTCATTTCTAGGTTAGTGGTGGAGCTTGATGATCTCCAACTCAACTTTGGTGGTGGGTTGTTCCATTGACCCCAATATGGTTGATGTGATCTTATAAAAACAGTTCCTATGGGAAGTGGAGTGTGTGGTCTTCATGGTGAGCAGAGCATCACCACCATGTTCTCCTGAGTTGAGTGAGACTTTGGATAGAGGAGATGTAGATGCAGGAGAACAGCTTTGGCCAGAACAACCCATGCCCCAGTTGGGTTGTTGGTGAGGTGGGAGTTGTCCCATGAACCAGGAACTGTCACAGGCTGTGATGTTGAGCACTGGCACCTGGTGATGGAGGGAAATCAAGAGCTCATGATGTTCCTGGAGAAGCTTCAGTTCAACAGGCCCGGAAGGTGACCATGAAATGGCATCTTGGCCATGTGATGTCCTCCATTGCATGGTGCCTCCAATGGAGCTCTGCTCTGGCACCGCAGCTCCTGCAGATGTTCTCCATCAGGCCACCATGCTGTGGTCACCACCAGACCTTGGGGACAGGGAATTCTTCTCACCAGTTGGGCAAGATGTTGGATTTGCCATGCTGCCACTTTGGTGGCAGGAGCAGAAGCCGAGCTGCCACTTCCAGCACTTTGTGGCATCAAGCATGACTGGCTTTCATGTGATCTCCAACGTCCTCCATCCCCACCATGAGGTCTTTATGGGTGTCACCATCCCCCCAAGGTAGCCCCCAGGCCAGGTGGCAGCTGTGAAGGAGAAGAGATGGACCATGTCTCTGAGTGAGGCTGGACTGGACCTTCTGTACCACAACCAAGGTGGCAAGAGCCACTCGGTGTCACTCCCTGGGCCAACATCCACGGTGATTGTCACCCCCCAGAGACATCCCATGTTGGAGGGGACAACTCCTCCTGTTAAAGTCAACCAGCCAGGTTGTCCCCACAACCCCAGGTGTCCCCACAACCCCAGGTGTCCCCACCTGCAGCAGCTCCTCCAAGACCCACCATCAGGAGATGGAAGATTTGGCCATGGGCTCATCAAGGTCCAAGTGTCCCCAGATGGTGATGGGAGAAGGAGGGGACACGGGATGAGCACTGACCATCATGAACACACACGTGTGTGCATGTGTACATACGTGCACGCGTGTAGGTGTGTGTGCAGAGGTGGGTTTCCATGTGGACGTGGTCATCCGTGTGCGAGCAGATGGCGTGTGCACGTGTGTGTGTGTGTGTGTGTGTGCACTTAGAGAGCTCCACGCATGTAGAACATGTTCGTGTGTCCATGTACATACATGTACACGTGTTTGCGTGTGCATATGGGTGTAGATGTGCAAGTGGTGTGTAAACATGTGCACGCCTGCACACGTACAGATCTCCATGTGCAAGCGTGGGTGTGTTTGCACGTGTACACGACTACACACGTGTGTGTGCATGTACATATGTGCATTGCACGCATGTGTGTGTGTGCAGAAGCAAGTTTCCATGTGCATTTATACACGTGCTCATCCGTGCACACGTGTATGTGCATGTGCAGCAGTGTGGAAACAGGCACATGTGTGCACATGTGTGTGTGTGCACTCTTAGCATGTGCAAGTGCGAGTGTGTTTGCACGCGTGACTGCATCTATGTGCATGTTTGCACGTGCAGTGGTGTGTCATGTGCACATACGTGTGTGTGTGCACACGTATAGAGCTCTCTGCGTGAGTTTCGACACGTGTAGGCCTGCACATGCATGTGTGCATGGATATATGTGTACATGTGTGTGTGCAGAAGTGAGTTTCCATGTGCACTTATACACGTGTTCATCCGTGCACACGTGTATGTGCACATGCAGCA